CAACCTTTTAATGTTTTAATTGTGGTAGTAGTTACACAGATGTATGTTCTTGTCAAAACTCTTGGAATTGAACATCAAAAAATGTGAATTTCGTTGTATATAAATTATGCTTTAATTTCTAAAAAACAAGACAAAAACCTCATAGAGATGGAAGAGAAGAAACTTGGGATTTAGTCAGGGAAATATAACACACACACACATATAACCTAAGAGCATTTACAAAGAAATACTCAAATGAGTACACATTTATGTATAGTAATATGAATGGCATCCACAGATGCCCTAGGAAGACATCGAACCAGTGATACCTGGTTTAGTTTTTCCCCAGTTTCTGGATAAATATGTCATGTGATACAGACTAAAAGGCTTAACTTTTTCCACATCAAAATATGGATAAAGAAAACTTTCAGAATGTATTTGTACTTTTTTAAGCAATATGTATTGACCTCTTAAAATTTATAATTTATTATATAAAACATGCTGATTTCAGTTTTAGGGAAAAAAGAAACAGTGACTAATATTTTCCTTTTTGATAACTCTTGTATAGTTTTTTTGGCCTTATCCTCATTGTAGCCAGGGAATGATAGGGGAATTTGATGATTGTTTACCTTTTTGCAAAGGAGTTTATAATATTTTATGCTTATATTTTGCCTTGCCTGTGTAGAGAAAACTAGGCAATATTTCTTATATATAGAAAAATAGTCTGTAGCATAAAAGAAAACCTGAAGATAATTAAATCTATAGTGCCTGTAGCATTTTGTAAAATTCTGGGGTGGCATATTGGCTAAACATGAATTAACCTAAAGGAAATCCTTTGTCATGAAAATTATTTTCATTGGCATGACACTCTTGAATATGTAATACTCTATAGGAAATTGTTTTATGGAGAAACTGTAGAACATTTTGGAGAACAGCCTTATGCAAAGAACGCCAGATCAGACATGGAATGACACAAAATTTCTGGACAATGAAGCCTTATGGAGACTTAAAATTTGAAAAGTCCATTTGGTCACTCTGTAGAGACTTAGGATGAGAAGAACTACCTACCACGTGAGGGCACTGAGCTGCGCACAAACTATCTCTTTTCAACTTGAGAACAACAAATCTGCAAAATGGGACCACATATACATATAACATTAGTAGGTATTAGTGGCTCCACTTTACAAATAAGAAAACCAAGACCCAACAAGATAACTAAATTACTGAAAGCCACATAACTATTTGGAGAACTAGGAAATGAATCCAAGTTTACCTAATCCAAAATTACTTTCTCACTTAAAGATACAATTTCTGAAGGGAATATATAGTTATTAGAACTCAGAGAGTCTAGAGCAGCACTGTCCATTAAATATAATGTGAGCCACAATGCAAGCTATAAATGTAATTTAAAATTTTTAATAGCGACATTACAAAAGTTGAAAAGAAATAGTTGAAATTAATTTTAATAATACATTTTATTTAACCCTATATATCTAAAATATCACCATGTAATTAATATAAAAATTAATTAAATATTTACATTCTTCCTTTTTAAGCTAAGTCTTTGAAATCCAAGGTATATTTCATACTTACACCTGTCAGGAAGAAAAATAATTTTCTTCTATCCTCTTAGATTCAGTACCTGGCAGCCAATGAGCAGCCCTCATGAACCAAAGTCATACCCAAAGAAAGCCAAAAGAAAGAAAGACTTAAATGAACGCCCTGAGAGCTGGCAACAGTTGGTAGGACATCAGCTGCAGTGGGGTGCAACTCACTTTTGTCTTGCCAACTACACAGGGCCCTCAACCTGACAGTTAGCTGGCTACAGACAAAAGCCCAACAACCTGAACCCCTTGGCAGGTGGAAAGCCAGAGCCAAGCCAAACTCTCAGCACACAAAGCAAGATGGAAGGAGAACCTCACATGATTCTCCCCCCTTATGACAAAAGACACAAAAGACAGAGACAAAGGAAAACTGAGAGGAAAAAATTCAATAACCAACGAGTTTTTAAAACTGTCACCCAAGAGTAATAACCAAAGAACTAGTTCTCCCAGGTATTTTATCCTGCTAGTCTAACTTTAGAGAGAAAAGACAAGGAGAGGCTCTTACTACCTTCATTCAGCTGGACCCCAAGCAGAAATATGAGAAACCAGTTGTTAAGGAATACTTACCCTTACTGGCTTGTTCAGAAGTCCCAAGATCTCAGCGGCAGTCTTTGGGACAAGAAAAGGAGTCCCAAACAATCTCATCCTTGTCACCAAACTGTCAAAGAGAAAAAAACTTTCTTCTACACTCTTAATTTTCATGCTGGGGGCCTGTAAATTAAACTGACAAAAGACAAATTAGCAAGAGAGAAAAAAATAATTATGTATGTAGGCATGGGAGTTCACAAAGAAATATGATTCAAGGGGGCAATGAGATTCGGGGCCTTATATATCCTCTTAAAGGGTGATAAATTGCTGAGAAGCAACTAGACAAAAGTAAAGGGGTTGGGCTTCTAGGGGCAGTAAATTATGGGCATGTAAATTTATAGGTGAACTAAGAAAGATAAAGGTTATTTAGTATGGTTTGTTATGCAAAGTCAAATTGGTGCCTTCTCCATTAATAAGAATCATCTTCAGTGATTAATAGTCATTCTCCTCTTCCTGGTACAAGAGAGGGAGACACCTTTACAAATGCAAATTTATAACCTTTACAAAGGGAAATTACACCCTTCTTTTATACAGAAAGGAGGATGACAGAAAGATTTTCCTGTATCTGCTGTTACTCAATTGCCTTCAGCTCAAAATAATTCTTATGCCAAAGTGGCATATTCTGATTGCCTTCATAGCACATTGTAGTTTGGACTAGTTACTTTTCAAGGGCTTAATTGCCACATGTGACTAGCACCTATAGTATTGGACAGAGAGCACTTCTAGAGGCAGACATGGCCCAGAGGACACCTTGGAATAGAGTTGGAGAAGACAAGATGAGGTTAGCACTAGCAAAGCAGAAGCTAGCATCAACTCCAAGGGGCTATTAATACAGTCGGAGAATAAGCAAAACATCAGAAGCTTCTGGGGTCTATAGAATGTGAGGAAGTGTTTTATGACCCATTTTATGACAAAACTAAGAAGTTGAGAACCCTAAATAAAGCAGGAGGACAGGAAGTCCACACTTATTGGGGATTGACTTCAAGGAGAAGGCAGTGGGTCAGCTTTAAGGTCCATGCCTGAGCTGGTCATTTGGAATGGAGACCTATGCAGGACTCTCTTCCTAATCCATTATGCCAAAGGACATCAGATCAAAGACATGGTACAGAATAAGTGTTCCTGTTTGGTTCTGGGCAGAAGTGAATTGAAGCAACTACCCAAGTCTTGGTCCTTTGAGAGATTTGTCCCTGTATGGCTAGAACCAGGTGATTGGGCAATGGAAGCCAAATTAAAATCATTTTGCCTGGAAACAATGTGCAAATTGAAAAGGCAACCTATGGAACAGGAGAAAATATTTGCAAACAATATATTTGATAAGTATTAATATCCAAAATATGTAAGAACCCCCTACAATTCAATTACAAAAAACCAAATAACCCAATTAAAAAAATAGGCAAAGGACCTGAATAGACATTTCTTCAAAAAAGACACAAATGGCCAACAGATATATGAAAAGGTTCTCAACATCATTAATCATTGGGGAAATGCAAGACAAAACCAATGGCATATCACCTCTCACTCTTTAGGATGGCTAATATCAAAAAGACAAAAAATAACAAATGTTGGTAAGCATGTGAAGGAAAGAGAATCCTGGTACACTATTGGAAGGTATGTAAATTATTACAGCAATTTTGGGAAACAGTATGGAGGTTCCTAAAAATGAAAACAGAACTACCATATGATTCAGCAATCCCACTTCTGGGTACTTCGTCAAAGGAATTGAAATCAGGATCCTGAAAAGATACCTGAACTGCCATGTTCATTGTAGCATTAATCACAATAGCTAAGATATGGAAACAAATGTCCATGGGTGAATGAATAAAGAAAATGTGGTATATACTTATAATAGACTATTATTCACCCTTAAAAACAGAAGGAAATCCTGCCATTTGTGACAACATGGATGGACCTGGAGGACATTATGCTCAGTGAAATAAGCCAAACACAGAAAGACAAATACTATATGAGCTCACTTATATAGTGAGTCTAAAATAGTGAAACTCATAGAAGCAGAGAGTAGAATGGTGATGCCAGGGCCTAGGGGGAGAGGGAAATGGAGAGGTGATGATAAAAAGGACACAAAGTTTCAGTTATGTGAGATAAATAATTTCTGGAGATCTGCTATACAGCATAGTGCCTATAGCTAATAACACTGTTTTGTGTACTTAAAACTTTCTAAGAGGATAGATCATACATTAATTTATTCTTAATACACACACATATACCCACACACACAAAATAAGAGGGTGAGAGGAACCTTTGTGAGGTGATGGATATGTCTGTGGCCTTAATGATGGTGATGGCTTCACAGGGGTATACTTATCCCCAAACTCATTGAGTTGTATACATAAAATATGTACAGATTGAGTTTTCATGTCATTCATGCAGAAAGAAAAATGGTTAAAAATAATATCAGGTTGTGTTTTTTTGGTTGGTTTTTTTTTCCAAGAGAATTAAATTGTTTTTTGATTACACATGATAATGGTTGATACACAAGCTTCATTCCCATCTATAATTTTTATCTGGTACCATTATTCAATTTAGATATATTGCATAGGATATGCCAACAATGATCTTTATAACCAATAATTCCATAATTTTTCCTTACATGACCCCTTTTAATGGTGAACTTCAGGTCACAACAGTAACCATCAGTTTAACTACACCAAGGTTTCTGAAGACAATGGCTTCTCCACCCAAGCAGGTTGTAAATGAATTTCAAATAGAACCTGGCATCACCCTGAAGGAATTCTATCTTCACACTTTTGGGGAAGTTTACCAAAATGGCTTCAGAGTAGACTAACTTTACACAGCACATTAAAAAAAAAAAAGATGAATTTATTCAGCATCATGATCAGACTATTACATTTAGCAATCAATAGCATGGGTGCAAAAAAAAATCTACATTAAAACCCTTTGTTGAAATACTTTACACTTTACACAGAACAGAAACTAAAATAACCTGTTATACAATTAGTCACAAATACAGTCCTCGAGTTTTTTGCCCATACACATGAGTATTGTCTAAAACATGTCTTCTTTGCAGCAGCTAGGCCCTGCTACCACTGTGCTTGGCTGAGTTCACAAATCTGTTGTAACCTGTAGCTTCCCTGTCACTTCTCTGGCTCTCCACTTCTGCTAAGCTTTATTTCCTGGGAATAATTAAAACCTTCTGCCACTGCCATAGCTCCTGCTGCTACTGGAACCACAATAGCTACCTTGGTTTCGTGGTTTGGCAAAGTATTGGCCTCCACCACCATAGGGGCCAGAGCTTCTGCCTCCAAAATTTCCACCCTTCATGGGTCCAAAATTTGAAGACTGATTGTTGTAATTGCTAAAATCATTGTAGCTTCCACCACTTCCAAAATTGCTTCCATCATTACCAAATCCATTGTATCCATCCCCACTGCCACCATATCCACCACCACCACGGCTGCCACCAAAGCCGCCTCGACCACTGAAGTTTCCTCCATGGCCAAAGTTGTCATTCCCACCAAAACCACCTCCACGACCACCACCAAAGTTTCCAGAACCACTTCGACCTCTTTGGCTGGATAAAGCACTAGCCATCTCTTGCTTTGACAGGGCTTTCCTTACTTCACAGTTGTGGCCATTCACAGTATGATATTTCTGAATGACAGTCTTATCCACAGAATCATGGTCATCAAAGGTTACAAAAGCAAAGCCCCTCTTCTTGCCACTGCCTCTGTCAGTCATGATTTCAATCACTTCAATTTTCCCATACTGTTCAAAATATTCTCTTAGGTGATGTTCTTCAGTGTCTTCTTTAATGCCACCAACTCCCAACCAGTTGAACGAAGTCTATCCTTCAGGCTAAGATTGCCCTTGAATAACATAATTTCCCCTTTCTATCTGGTCTTAATATTTCTTTTAATTTAATTTTATTTGTGTCAAAATGTTCAGAATAAGAGGAACACTATCTGCATGATTTTACTAGATACTGCTCTTACTCTTTCACTAGGGAGGGTTTATATATTTACACTGCAAATCAGAAAAAGACAGACATATCCTCCTCTTCTCCAGAGGTACTGTATTGTTTTTTTCTCAAGCCAAATTTTGCATAGAATGTGAATTTAAGAGAGAAGTGGTGACAATGACAGTAGTCATTGTGGTGCTTTGGAGGCCTGCTCACATGGGCAAAAGGCAGAGAAAAAGGAAAAAGGAGAGAGAAGAGAGAGAGAGGGGGAGGGAGAGAGAGAGAGACAGACAGACAGAGAAAGAGAGAGAGAGACAGAGAGAGGAGAGAGAGAGAGAGCTATACTACTAGTTGCCCTATTCTTTTCAATGAAATAGAGTCCAGAGAGCTCTGGAGAGCTCCAGTTACTGTTATGAGATCTGTTGAAAAGGCGACAAAATTGAAGTTAACTAGTAAAACTTACTTAGAGGTCTGCCATATATGCCCTGCATAGCTGGTCCTACATGTTATCCTTTACTTTTGTCAGTTTTATTCTATCTTTCCTTTATTCTCAGTTTCACACTCTTTCCTTCAGTTTCAGTACCTAGAGATGCAGGAAGTAGAATGATATTGAGGAAGATGGAAAATCATAAATATTTAGCAATAGAACAACCTAGGTAAGGTACAAAATTTTAAATGGTACAGTGCCAATTCTAGACAAGTACTCCACAAGAAAGAACCCTACAAATCATTATTGCTTATGAATATATTAATAAATGCAAAATCCTTCAACAAAATACTAGCACACTGAATCCAGCAACATATAAAAAGTGTTAAATCTCATGATTGATTGGGATTTATCTCAGGAATACAAGGATTAATTAACATCAGAAAATCAATAAATGTAAATCATATTAGAAGAATGATGGACAAAATACCTATGCCTTTTTTAATACATGGGGAAGGCAAGAGGCAACAGCCTTTCATGAAAAAAAAAACCCACTCAAAAAACTAATACAAAGGAACTTCCTCAACCTGATAAAGGGTACATCTATGAAAACCCCACAGTTGACATTATACTTAACAGGGAAAAACAATGCTTCTCTTCTAAAATCAGAAACAAGAAAAGGATCTCTTTTCTTACCACTTCCATTCAACATTTTACCAGGGGTCCAAGTCAGGCCAAATAGGCAAGAAAAAGAAACAAAAGACATGCAGTTTTAAAAGGAAGCAGTCAACCTATCTCAATTTGTGGATGACATATTCTTGTATATAGAAAATTCTAGGAAATCTACTAAAAAACTATTAAAAGTGATAAATCATTTCAACAAAACTGCAGTATTCAAGATCAATATACCAAACCAATTGTATTTCTATTCCTCAGCAATGAGCAACCTGAGAAAAAAAAATTTTAATTCAATTACCATAGTGTCAAACTAAAAAAAAATACTTAGAAATAAATTTAACAAGAGAATGACAAAATGTGTACACTAAAAACTATAAAATATTTTCAAAAGTCAATAAAGAATACCTAAACAAATGTAAAGACATTCCATGGTCATCAATATAAAGACTTAATGTTGATTGGAATACTCCCAAGATTAATCTACAGATTCAATGCAATTCCTATCAATATCCCAGCTGCCTTTTGCAGAAATTGGCATCCTGATCCTAAAATTCATATGGAAATACAAGGAACACAGAGTACTCAAAAGAATCTTGAAAAGGAAGAACAAATTTGGAGGATTCAAACTTCTCAATTTCAGAACTGACAATTAATACAAAGTTACAGTAGTCAAGAAAATGTGATACTAGGATAGACATATAAATCAAGGGAATAGTATTGAGAGTCCAGAAATAAACCCTTACTTATATGATCAATTGATTTTCAACAATAATTCAATGAAGAAAAGAGTCTTTCCAACAAATAGTGTTGAAACAATTGGAAAGAATAAAATTGGACCTCTATCTCACACCTTACACAAAATTGACTCAAAATGGACCATAGACCTAAATATAAGAGCTAAAAACTATAAAACTCTTAGAAGAAAACACAGGAGTAAATCCTCATGATTTTGGATTAAGAAATGGTTTCTTAGATACCAAAAGCACAAGTGGCAAAACAAAATATAAATTCATCAAAACTAGAAATTTTTGTGCTACAAACAATACCATCATGAAAGTCAAAGATGATACAATGGTAGAAAATAATTTAAATCGTACATCTGATAAGGACTTATTTCCAATATATGTACAAAAAAACTCTTACAACTTAATGGTTAAAAGATAATTTTAAATGGGCAAAGAATTTAAATAGACATTTCTTCAAAGAAGATATACAAATGGCAAATAACCATATGAAAAGATGCTCAGCATCATTAGTCATAGGGAAATGAAAATCAGAAGCACAAAAAGATAAATTTTGCTCACAGTAAGATGGCTATGGAATGAACTGAATGTTTGCATCCCCCTAAAATTCATATGTTGAAATCCTAACCCCCAAGTGGATGATATTAGGAAGTGAGGCCTTTGGGAGGTGATTAGGTCGTGAAGGCAGAGCCCTCATAAATGACCTTGTGCCCTTATAAAGGAGACCCCAGAGAACTCCCTCACCCCTTCCACCATGTGAGAACACAGTGAGAAGTTGCCATCTATGAACCAGGAAGGAGGCACTCTCCAGACACCAAGTCTGCTGGCACCTCATCTTGGACTTCCAGATTCCAGAACTCCAAGAAATAAATTTCTGTTTTTTATAAACCACCCAGTCTATGGTATCCTGTTGTAGCAGCCTGAATGAACTAAGGCTACAATACAAAAAGACAGGTAAGAAAACCTGTGAGTGAAAATGCAGAGTAATTGGAACCCTCATACATTGCTTGTGGAAATGTAAAACTGTGCAGCCACAAAAACTGTACATAAATGTTTATAGCATCATTGTTCATAATAGCACAAAATTAGAAACTAATTGTCCATCAACTGATGAATACATTAACATAATGTGATATAACCACACAATGGAAAATTATTTGGCAATAAAAAGGAATGATGTACTGATACATACTGAAACATGGGTGAACCTTTAAAACTTATGCAAAAGTAAAAGAAGCAAAAGAAGTAAATTCAAAAAATTTATTTATAAAATTTTATTAAATTATTATTATTCTTGAGCCTCAAACAGCATTATAATTTCTGTGATTATGATTTCCTCTCCTTTAATTATTTCTGTAGCACTCCACACTGATCTTTGGAAACTCACCCCTTATTTTAAAAAAAACAAAAGAAAAAAAGAGTTTGTTACTCTATTATATGTTACAAAAGAACTATAGACTGTGGAATGCAGTTTAAAGATGACATATGCCAACAAATGCCTTGTATTATATGGCACTGCCATAATTCAAATTTGTTTTTATTTTGGAAATAAAAGTTCACTGTAATTTTTTTTTTAATTCTCATTGTTACATGATTTTTTTAAAATAAAAAAAAGGAAAAGAAAATGTGAAACACAATTTAGTCCTCATTATTTATTTGTAGATCCTGCAGCATCATGTTGTAATTAATTTTTTTGGAAGTTTCTGTTAAATGTAATATTGCTTCTCTTGTTACCATACTGATTCTTTTCTATTTATAAATGTGTTTTGATGGGCAGTAAAACAAAGTGTCTTAAAAGTATTGAAACTTTAAAATCTGTACCCCCATAATATGCCGAAATTAAAAAAAAAAAAGTTTTAAATAGAGAAAATGTGCTTTACACAGTTGCCTATAAAAAGTTTTCTATGTTATCCAAGCAATTCATATTATAAGCTTCACTCTTACTGTTGTATGCAATTTTTACTATCATGCAAATAAGCTTAGGTAAATAAAACTAATAGATCACCTTAGAAAATTATGCAATTAATGTGAAAATAATTGATGTTTGCAATGTGTCTTCCTTTGGTTTACAATCAATTTTAAAGCTACATCTGTATAAAATTTCTGTATAAACATGTATTTCTTTTTTATGAGTTTATGGCTATGAAAACACCATTCCTGATTAGTTAGAGTTTGCAAAAGTGAACTGATAGCCTTAGTCCACCCACTTCCTTCACCTTTCTCTTGGTACACACCATTGGTAAGGCAATTTGATTGTTAAATGCAATACAGCTGCCCCAGAAAGGGACTACTCTTTTCTAGATTACTCATAAGATAAATCATCAGGAGGAAAGAGGTTACTTAAATCCATTCTGAAAAAAATCAGAATTTCATCCTGAATCTTGACCATGATGTATCTTTCTAGTTAAAAATAAGTTGTATAAATCTTTTCTTAATTTAAATGCTTTTGTCTCCTATTGCATACAACCAGTCTAGATGATAGGTTTGGGTAAGATAGAGGATAACTGAAAAAATGTAAAGTTATAATTGCTGATGGGACACAGTGACTTTTAATGATGGAAAAAATGAAATCTTGACACCTGGGGTGGCAGAGGAGACTAAGGCCATTAATGATCTTTGTTTTCAGAATTACTCCTAGAAGCTTCCGGTCTTTCTAAGGGAAAATTCCCTATGCCACTTTAAAAAAATTCTGCAAGCTCTTTGAATTCAACCTGACTGCTGAGCCTAAATCACATTTTGACAGCATTGACTATGAAACAGCAGAGGATGGCCCTGGCTCCTGCATTTTCCATACAGAATACTTCCAGTGTTGTCCACAAACATAGAAGATAAACAAGGGTTAGGAGAACAAAACTGTTTAGAAAATATATTAGTTTGTTAGAACTGCCATCACAAAATAACACAGGCTGGCGGCTTAAACAACACAATTTATTTTTTCACAGTTCTGAAGGCTGGGAGTCCAACATCAAGGTGTTAGCAGGTTTGATTTTCCCTGAAGCCTCTCTCCTTGG